CCCCCCCCCCCGATTTCCACCTATGCCACAAAAACAAACGCAGAATAATAAATAGTTTGTTTTTTGTCGCATGCGATATGCCCGCACTAACTAGGAGTAGGACATAGTGTTAGTATTTTTAATTTTAATAGATATTATAATTTATAAACTTCATACACATATAAAATAACCCCCTCTTCCTCGAAAATAAATCGTAGTTACACCATTGCTTGAAATTAACATAATGATAGTTTGGTCTAAAAAACTGTTGCACAGTTGTATAAAAAATTAATATTTTATTACATAGGCAGGTAACAAAAAATATAAATATTTCATTAGTGGAGGGGGGCTCAGCCTCCCCACTACCCTCCACCAATATAAAATAATATTTTTCCTTGACTACTTAACACCCGTATTAACCAATATTAACCTGAATAATAACGGTTATTAACGCCCAAACGTTTGTTTAAATGTCGTACTGCGGTGTTTGAACACCCGAAACTCGAAACCCGAAAAATTTATTCGGGTGCAAAGCCTTGGTAAATAGTATGATGTGGTAAATTACTGCTAGTGATTATGTTCAGAGTTGATTCAACTTTTTGGATTTTATATTGCATATGAATGTATAAATGGATTTGAAATGCTTCAATTCGTTTATTGGATAATTTTCTAATGCTTGAGTATAGTGTTTTTTTTTTTCGGTTTTTTGATTGATTTACTGACTTTGCCTTGTGAACTGTGCCTTTGATTTAAAATCCATCGTTGTTGATTTTGTTGTTTTTGTTCTTCTTGTCTTGCGTCCCATACTACTTATCCTCAATAAATATCTCAATAATTCTAAAGCTGAACCGGTAGGTTCCGTTTGGTTGGTGGTATGTTAGTTTTTGGTGTAGTTTAAAATACCAAGCACTGCCTAATTCAATTATTTCTGTGAAGAACTTATTATCTACCATTTTAGATGCATACCATTACAATACAGTGGACAAAGCTAATTCGATCAAATTTATACCATAATTAAAATTACGAGTCTTATTTCTTTAACAAATAATATTTATAATACTAAGTATTTTGATGTATAATGTGTGTATAAAAATGGAATAAACTGCAGGCAAAGTATTACTCTTTATGTTCAACATAACATTAAAAATGTTTTAAAAAAATTATTCTTTCATTCATTTTTATTACGTATATATCAGATCGTATGTATGCGATTATTTAATTAGATATAAATGATCATGGAAAAACGGATTACATGATAACAATTAAAAATTTCCATTTGCATTTATTATAGCACACGAAGTATATTCGCATAGATACTTTATAGATTTCGATAGGAATTATAATATGCAATTAAAAGCGTAACACAATATGTATAGATACATATATATATATATATATCAGTATTATGTAGGTCTATGTGTAAATAAATAAAATAAAACCATAATGAAAAATCACTTAGACTATATTATTTTTGATTATTTTAAGAACCTTGTACAACAGGCTCGACGACGGGCACACGTAAGGACAAACCGGAAAATTCGGACGTGCAGGACTATGTACAGATAGGCGGTGCCCCGGCTGGACCAGGATATCCGTACCCGTATCCTTATCCATACCAGCCGGTCGGTCCGACTCCTGGAGGCGTGGTGTTGGTGCAGCCGGGTGGTAACCCGTACCGTGTGCAGTACCCCTACGAGGCCCAATACCCCGTGGATGGGACGCAGTACTACGGGTCGTACTATCCTACGGTACCGTCGCCGCAGCCGCTGCCGCCTTACGCCCCGTACCATTCAGCCGCGTATCCGGCACCAATGCAGCCACTACAGCAGTACGAACAGGCCATCGTGGTGGACGCGTACCGCGGACCGCTAACGCCGTATCCGCAGCCGATCGCGGAACAATTTTACAGGCAGCCAGCCGCCGCCCCCTTTGCATCATCGCCGTACCACTACGGGCCACAGCAACCGTCGCCGCCGCACTTCAGAGCTCACGCGTACGGTAGACCACCGATGCCGCCGGCGTTTATCCAGCAACGGGACGTAACCGGTGCCACAGCAAACGTAGCCGCCTCCGCCTCCTCACCATCTGCTAACAGCGCAGCGAATAACGCAGAATCGCAGTACGAACAACAGCAGTCCGGACCGTTCGACGGCAACCAATATAATTTCTAACATCGCGGATTTCATCTAAAACATTTACTATTTCGACAATACGATACCTAACAGTAGAATATATTTGATCCTGTACACCATCCGCAACGTAATAATTCATTGAATTTTTTATTTCCGTGTCTCGTCCATCAGTCCATTATAATATATGGTTCGAAATCACTTGGACGATTATATTGTACGATTAAGCATAATATAGCATTCAATAAATTTGTCGAAAATAAAATATACCTACTTACATATTAATTTGACAATCAGCTCGCACCGTAATATAACATTACACACGTACGTAAATTGATTGGTTTTATATTTATTCACATTTTATATTTTTGTAACAATAAAATATTTAATTTTTTATAACACGTAATTTATATGTAGTTTAGTTATATATTTAATACTTTAAGATTACGATGATATTATAATAGTAAGTTTAAAATTTTAAAGTGAGTGTACTGTATACCTCCTATAGGGTTTTGTCATTATTGTGATTTTTTTTACTGTCAAATGCGGATTATAGAAATATATTAATGAATATATGGCTATTCGTCTTTTGATTCCATTTGTAAAGCTATCATCTATACCTAAGACAATATAGTATGACTAATAACGTACTATCATGATTACAGTTTTTATTATCTTATGATGCAGTGAATATTTTAAGGAATTTTCACTGGATGACAAAAAAAAGTGTCCACGCATTTAATTAAAATCGATAAAGTCAACATCAAAAAACTATATAAGGAACCTATAGAATAAAAAAAAATCAGTGTTTAATATTCAAACCTTAGAAACCCTAATAATATGATCTTAATTTGTTATAGTATATAATATATACATATAGACATTTAACGATGTTTAATACTAAATAATAATTATTATTTCAATAAGTCAGAGTATAGACGATTAACTTTAAAATTGTATGATGTAATTTTAAAATATAGTACGGCCGGATAAAAAAAAGCTCGCGGGCCGGATGCGGCCCACGGGCTGCTAGTTGCCCACCCCTGGTATATATAATAAATGTTTATAACGTTCAGTTAAAAATTGAACTTGTTCACGTTCATGTTAATTTTTTTTAAAGCGTATAGGTTCCCATTTAAGTTTTATGAAAAAATTAACGTGTTCATCTGGCAGTTCATTTAAATTGTTTTGTTTTATATTAATGAATCATCTATCTGCATTCTGTACAAATAGAACCTTTATAAAATGTATTAGATATATTTTACTTTATGTTTAAAACCTATAGTTAAACATATAATCAATATTAATTAATTAAACAAATACTTTAAAAACGGTAAACAAATTGGATTATTCGTATTCGTAGACCTTAAAAAAGCGTATGATAATATCTACCGTGACAGCCTATATAACATAATGTATGAATTTGAATTCCCAAAAAAAATTATTTCACTGACAAGAATGAAGAATGCATGAATAGCACACGGTACCAAATAAGGGTGGATAACACTTCATCAAACGACTGGGCAACATGGCAACGGGTTCTCGTCACTTCTATTCAATATCACTCTTGAAAAAGTAATACATAGTGTACTAAGAAACAACTGTGGTGTCGTTATAGATGAAATTATACTTGACGTTCTAGGATTTGCAGACGATTTAAACATTCTAGGAGAAGATAAAGAATCATTTGTACAAAATACAACAACAATGATAAAAGAAGCAAAAAAAAAAATCGGAGAGGTAAATTAAGAGAAGATCATGGTTATGGAAACAGCGACAAGTAAAGGTGAAAACTATAAAATAGAGAACTACGTATTTAAGAAAAGTTTCAAATACCTTGGTATTCAAATACTTTGGTTCAATAATCTCTGTTAGGGTTGCCATACGTCTCGGAAAACCAGGATTGTCACCGATTTTGGACTTTGCGTCTCAGTGTCCCAAAAAATGTTTTCGGGACGTCCATATGTCCCGGCTTGGATGTTAAGAGGAAATGTAATATTGTTTAATTTTTATTTTCGATCATTTTATCTCGAAGTATATTTTTAATCATAATCGATTAACAATATATAATGAAAACATATTTTGTAATTCACACATATAAATATATAATATATTTTATTTTACAAAAAACTTTTTAAATATTATATTGCCGGCCATTAATGGTCCTTTATTTTATAACATTTAAAAGAAGCCCTAGGGGGGATCTGACATCCACATCCTCTCAATATATTAAAAGTTATATAAACAGTATATTACTCGATATTGTATTTGTGTTGTTCCGGTTTCGCCTTATAAATTTATGACATCCCTAATCTCTGGAGGTAACGATTGAAATATTGAATCGATTTATTGATTATAAAGATGAAAGGGGGTATCTTGCTTTAATTAATTACTTTAAATCGAAGATCTTCTTTAGAGGCACAAAAACACGTCTTTATACGGCGATAATAAAACTCATAATTACATAAGGGTGTGAACACTGCTTGACTTGGAAAAATTAAAGAAGGGGAACTCTGTTTGCTTAAAAAAAAAAATTACGCCCCCAAAATTTGTTAAGCGTTATAATTATAACATAATAAATAGTAGGGAGACGCTCAAATTTCTAAAAATTAGAAGGGATACGCCGTCCCCCCCTGCGTCCCCCCTCAAGTCGAGCACTGGGTGTGAAGTATGGCCCACTACGATACTATTCGAGCAAAACTTAAATTTAATTTAACATTAAGTATTGGTATACGAATATATTAATAAACTTACATGGCTATGGATTATTTACTTTTAATAACATTACACAAAACCTAACTTTAAGCAACTACCTAGAGCCTCATACTTAAAATTCGGAAGCCCAAAATTTGTCAAGTTAAATTGTTATATTTATTTTAACGGTGTAAGGGAATTTTACTGATTTTATTTAGAAAATTGCAAAAGCTTGCAACAGCATTGACATTAAACATACATAACTAAATATACTCAATTTTTATATCTGATCAGTGGCGTCATTTCAATTTTTGATAGGGGGGACTTTTGACCGGCCCATACTACTGGGGGAAATATAGAGTTTCGCTCACACGTTTTAACTTATACTTAAGCTACATATTTTATTTATTATATTATTATACAACTTAAATTTTTACAAAATGTAATTTTGTATTTTATAAACATTACCTAAACAAGGTTAACTTAATCTAACTTAACCCTAAATTAAACTAAGTTGTAAGTGGATATCTTCTATTTTTCATTTTTGAACATACTTCTACTGTGTCATCTAAACTGATTTTTGCAGCAATATCACTTTCAACAGCTGTAACCAATAAATTACTCAGCCGATCATTTCCTATTGTCAAACGTAGATAAGTTTTAATTAATTTAAGGGAAGAAAAAAACGTTCATTGGAAGTAGTTATTACATGCAAAGTTAAAAGAATATTTATTATTTTAAGAGTTTCAGTAAAAGCTTTAGGAAGTTCATTTAAAATTTTAGAAATAGAAAAAAGGTCATGAATTCCATCGTCTCGTTTTTTATTAGAATAAGTTAAGTTAATTAATTAATTTAAGTTTTTTGCAGATAAGAATTCAGTTTGATGTATTAAATTATCAATTTTAAAATGGCTAAAATGATTAAGGAAAGACAATAAATAATTAAAATTATCAGGACTGGAAGATAAGAAAATATTACAAGTAAAAATGATTTCATTGCTAGAATTGATGAAACGATGGTTAAGTTCATTCAAAAATTTAATATTCTTGTAAAATTCTCATGTATCTATTTATAGTTTATACCAATCGACAATTACCAAATATTGTGGCAATAAATAATTATTTAGTACGCAATATTTCAAAATTATAAAAATACGCTTGATTTTTAACAAATAACGACTTATGGCTAAACGATAACGACCGGCCATTTGGGATGTTTTTTAATCAGATAGGGGCAAATGCCCACCTTGTGACCCCAAATGACACCACTGTATTTGGTTAATATAAATTTATACATTTCTTCATCAATACATTTCAAAATTATTTGAGTAGGTATATAGAATAATGTCAGTGTTGTAAAGTATGTATTTGAGTAAAAGTATTTGAATAAAAGTATTCAAAAACTTTTTTAAGTATAGAATAATTTTTTAAATACTTTCAGAACCAAGTATTTTCAATGGTATTTTAAACACATTTTTTTCTATTGAATACTTATTTGTATTCAACACTTAGTTTTTTTTTTCGAACATTTTATTTTTGTTCAAAATATTTGGTTGAAAAATATTGCCATCTATATTCAAAGCCCGAAGGTTTGTAAAAACCAGGTTTCTAAAAATAGATATTCAATAACAAAATTTCCTTTTGTATTTTTTAGATAGGTAACTGTTAATATCAGATACAATATCTGTTTGGTTCAGTGTTGCCAGGTTAAAATGTGAGAAAGTTCGGATAGTTATCGCAAAATGTTCGTTTTTTGTCCGTATTATTGAAAATGTTCGTACGTACATAAAAAAATACAAAAGCAAGGATGTTCCTCACTCTGTTTAAAAAACGTTCACAGAAGACAAATTTTTTTTAATCAAATATTTATCCATTTTAGTATAATATACTAAATATATAATAATATACTAATTGTATTATAGTAAGTTATTACAATTATACAAATAACTGCAGAATAAGAAGTAGCTATTAGTTAAACAAATAATATTGACAAAAATACAACACTTCTAGATGCTGTCTGCTACAGAAATGACAACTGACAATAAAATATAACATAATATAATTTATAGGCAGTACATATCTTGCGTATCAGACATCAGCGTATGTATTATTCTACTAATCGTACTCATAATCTATTATAGGTCTCAGCCCATAATAATTACTTTGTTATTTTCGTTTTCCGTCTAAAAATAGATTTCTTGTGTACATTTTAACTATAAATAATGTTCAACTTCACTGAGTAACAAAATTATTATTTTCAAGAATATAATATATAACATTAAGCATTTAAGCGTGATAAATTATAGAATATCAATTATTATTTCGAAAAATTTTAATTTTCTTAATTTTTTTACGAATTTTTGTACGAACATTTGTTTTCTTTGTGTTCGTACGGTAATCTCAAAGTTCGTACAAATACAAACATGTTCGTACGCCTGGCAACACTGGTTTGGTTATACGAAATTACGAGAATAACATAAATTTTCCCACAAATCACTATATAGCTGCAAGCCTACTCCGTTTTTATTTATTAATTTAAAGACTTGTGTAGTTGTGTTTATAACCTACTGGCTACTACCAGTTCTCGTCTTGGTAAAATTAAAGAAGGGGGGATTCTACTTACTTTAAAAAAAAGAACGTCCCCAAAAATGGCTGTGTGTTATGATTATAGTGTAATAATAATAGGGGGACGCTAAAATTTCTGAAAACTAGTTGGGGTACTCCGTCCCCCTGCGTCCATCAGGTTATCTATTCCATTTTTATTGATACATTATGTTGTTTCTTTAATGCTGACGGCGTCATCATTGGCAAGTAATTCAATAAAAGGCCGCATTTACTTTATAAAAGTGAATGATTGAACGAAATAGTTTTTTAGGCCGAATCGGCGTTCACATTAAATAGTTTTAATATAAACGCGTTTTTACATTTTACTTTTGTAGAATAGAAATTTACCACTTGGCGCTCACAAAACTTATAAAACTACTTCATTTTTTTCAGATTAACAGATTATATGCAAAAAATAGCATGATACTTTAAAAAATAGTAGAAAATATCAAAAAACCCTAAAATATGTTAAAATATACTCTAAAAACTTTTAAAGCTGCATTCCTTTTACTATGAAACGGAATTGTAGCTTACTCTGCTATATTTTAACATCTTATGAATAAATATGAAAATGCTAGAAGTTTCGAGCCCTGCTAATTACCAACTAAATTATGATGGTTAGAAGAAATACCAATAGCTATTCAATTTTAAATTCTTCTATTTTTTCTTTCAACTTTGTAGGTGGGGCACGTGCCCGTGTGCCCCATAACACGACCCGCCACTGATTAATACTGTTTATATCTAATGAAGTACAATTGAAACTGACGCGGTCCCGCTGTGGTGTAGGTACAATAAGTTAATAACATCACTATCACAGAGCCGCGCCAGCCTCATCACGTGCAACGATAACACCGTTTCCGATACTACCCACCTACCACGGAAAACCGGGCAGAGGTGGGAAAAGTTATCGGAACCGGTGGCAACGTACCGACCGGTCGCCTCAAGTGACCAACTTTGTTCTCGCGACCGTGGTAGAAGAACGATTGTCGTCATTTTTTTTCTTCTGTCACGACTGTCACCAGAGGACCGTATATTTTATTTACACCATTTTCTTCATTCTTGTTTGTGGAACAATATACTTATTTGCCTCAGCATATTGTTATTGTTTTTCTTTGGTCAACTGTATACTTTTTCCACTACACAACACCACAATTCAATCGTGATCAGCCACCTCATCGAGGAGAATTTTCAAGCAACCTGAGGCCGTGTCAAGACTAGAGGAAGTTAATTGATATAATAGAAAAAAAACCAATTATTGTAATGTTAATTTAAACAAAAAGTTTATTTAGTGAAAATTTAATAAAAGCTTTTCCTGATCGAAACAAAGTACCTACTTATCTATGAAAAGTTCTAACTTCTCAAATAATAAAATTATGATTTTCCATAGACCAGTGCTTTCTAATATTTTTCGACTCATGGTACCGTTTTTGATCTAAGGTTTTTTCTGGGGGCCCTTTCCCAAGTTATAGAATGACTAATCGTAAGTAAAACTTTAGACCCGATAGTATTCCATGACGGTACGGCGCCCTTGTACAGACATCGTGGCACCTGTGGCGTATTTGGTGGGGGGGTGATGGGTGGCAACCCCCCTGGAGAATTTTTAAACCAAGACAATTTTTATATAAGTAATGGGTATTTTATTAAGAAACAAAAATTATGATTTATTTTATAGTATGACTACATTTGAAAACGTTTCAAATTTTACACTAATTTAAATAACGCAAAACGCTAACATTTTTTAAACGTTTAAATTTGTATAACGCTTAAACGCTTAAATTGAATAACGTTTAAATTATTTAAAGCATTAAACGCTCAATTGCTTATAACGTTTAAATGTCTTATAACGATAAATAATATATATTATTTGGATTGAAAACCCAGTCAATACTTAGTGAAAAATTACATAAAACACAAGCAAAACTTTAAAAACACAGATAAGTGTTAAAAAAGAACTACACAAAAGACCATTCTAAGTGGATCCGGCATTAGATTAAAAAAAAAAAAAACCACAAATATTAAGGATTCGCCTGATATAAATATTATCAAAAATTTTACTTGTAAATTTTGATCCTGAATTAAAGAAATAATTTGAGTCACCCCCCCTCCCCCTTAGAAGTAAGTTTAAATACGCTCCTGCGAGGCACACACTTTGGGAACCGCTGCCATAGACATAATATATTGCCTTTGTGATTCACATATCACGGTATATTACACAGTGTCTACAAAACAGATATTTTTGTAAAATATATATACGAAGTTGAATAGCTCAGGGCCAGCGTTACTATTTGCGAAGCCCTGGGCAAAAATTATTTTACCTATAGCAATATTGCCATCCTAAGAAATAACGCCGTAAATCGAAAAAAAAATGAGATAATACTATACCTATTACGTTTAATATTATAGTTTTACAAGTTTTTCCTAATCAAAAATGCCATAACTATGATTATTTATCCAGAAATATGTGTTTATAAGAAAACATTATAAATAGTATTATAGTCACTTATAGGTGTAGGCCGCATTTAAAGACGATAACATGTAATCAGACTCGGTGACAGCTTCACGCGATATCGCGGGTAATGAATGATTAAATCTCAGAAATATGATAAAATTAATTTCCTATGTATCTATCCCGGTTCCATACTGTGCGGCGGCCGTACGGGTCGTCGTTGGTGCATACATGACACATTAAGTATAATATTGTTTTGTTAATTGATATTTTATGACAGGCCAACAGATTTCTCTAGAAATCGCACTTGCCAGGCGATCCACACATTTCACGTTTTATTTAATGAGATTTTCGTACAAAACATTTTTAATAAATTTTAAGCGCGATGCCCTGGAAGGCGTGAAGCCCTGGACAAATGCCCCGTTTTGTCACCCCCTAATGCCACCCCTAAACAAGCAAACCAGACTGTCACAAATAATATTAAAATGAATTAGGAACATAATATTGAGTATTGGATGCATAAATGTCAGGAATATTAACCATCGACTATACTGCAATTATGAAATTATTGTTACATGTTTATTTGGCAGTTTTTAATTACATCAATGTTAACCAATTACTGCAATATCGAATGCCTTAAATTTATATTAAGCTTTTCTTCCATGACATATAGTGCCGTAGATAACAGCTAAACATATGTTTATTAAACCTTTGGATAATTTTTTCCCTAGTGCATCACGATCCAAATTGTGTTTCGATCTAAACTTCAATTTGTCTTGAAAACTTATTTCACCTTTTGGAAATTATTAATATATTTTGGATTACTATTCATTCACAAAACAGGTAATTATAAATAATAGTGTTATTTTTTAAAAAAATCGCACTTTAGACATTAACATCGATGAATTACATTTTTTAGTATGAAGGTCAGTTTGTTGAATTTTTGCTCTATTAATATTAATATTGTTTTAGAGAGGTTATTGAATATTCAGTTAACAATTTTATAATGTATTAAATTATTCTAATTCATATTTTTATGATAATGCGTGTGACTTCTTTGTTTGGTAATTATTTGTACCTCGTAGACTAAAATTAATTTAAATAGGTTTTTTATAATAAATTAAAGTTTGATGAAAATTACTCTGATTGATTAGATATTTTATCATATAAAGAGACCAAAAATCTTAAAAATTGAGAAACCAGTTAATTTTTTTTTATTCATTTGAAAATATAATATACTTATATATTTATTATAAATTTGAATTTTTATTTTAGAACCATGTCTTCTGCAGCAGTTCAAAAACTTGTTAAACCACAATTGCGTGGAATTTATGAAAAGAAAACTAAATTCCACCTTGTATTAAGTGTTATATTATCCATTGGAGCAGGTGTTACTTACAAATATTCAGTTGGTGAACCTCGTAAGAAAGCCTATGCTGAATTTTACAAGTAAAGGAAATTTTTATTTTGCATACTGTGTATGACATTATTAACCTGTTTTATTTTGTAGAAATTATGATGCTGATCAGGACTTCGAAAGAATGAGGAAACTAGGACTTTTCTCTTCTTGCCCTGCTGATGATTAATAACCTATGAAATAATGTAACTAACTAGTTGTATGTAAATTTATTTGAAGAAAAAATTTAATGAATACAGTTTTGTATTGATAAAATATAATTATTATGTGTAACTGATTGTATTGAGCTATTTTCATGTATTTGTGTAAAAACCATGGGCCTATAGTTAAAATTTTATCAGTAAAATAATGATGAATAGTTTAAAACATTGTTCTTAATACTATTATACAAGTAATGTTTATATTTATATGTTTTACTGTAGTAAACGTAAGTGTTTTAAAATTATTTTAAACTCTAATTTATAGTTTGAAATTTAAGAACTATTATTATTTGTGAAACAAATTTCTGAAAATTTTATTGATTGTAATTACAATGTTTAAGCACTTAAAAAGTGTAACAACAAACAATAAAATATGACTAAATGCAATTTTAAATATGATAATTAAGTAAACGTTGAACAATTGTATTTAAATTATTTAAAATTTTTTTTGAAATCAGTTTTGGTGTTGATCTGTTGCAAAATATTGGAAGGTGATATAGCTCAGGATATTTTTATTAATTGAATTACATCTGTGTTAATGGTCACAATTTTTTGTATTTGATAACAATTAATATTCTTTAGGGGAGGTTATAATTTTGTTATCAAGCATACCAACCCACTGAATACTGAACACGCAGTTCCGATTTGGGTATCATCACGGGAATAAAAGTCGATAGACATGTTATCGACAAAATTAGAGAAGACAGAATAGTATTCGGGAAAAATTAAACGCATATGAAAGTCGCTGGTAAATAGCATTGATTTGAATTTATAATTTCCTCCCGGCTCCAACTACGACAGTAATAATATCGGCGTGCAGTGCAACCAACTGGTTGTGGACTGTTGGACTAACCGAGACAGATGTCCGCGATCTTGCCGGGGCGTGTGTTCGTCCGATGGAAATCGCGGGATATTTGGCGCGTTAATATATTGGCTGCACTGCAACGGCCAGTGATGTGCATTGCAAATGGCTGCTCTTGTTATTGTTCCGTAGTCCCGTAGCGTTTCGCGATTTAACACGATAATAAACCCCCGATTTACGAAATACCGTCGTCGTCCCGTACGGATACGCAGTGTTCGCGACCACCGACGTGTACGTTCCGTTTACAATCTGTGCGCGTCCCGTTGTCACAAGTTCGCTGAAACCAATTTTGTTGTAAACGCAGCGGCGTTTCTCTTGTGTTCGTGTGTGTGTGCGTATGTGTGTGCGTGCGTAGTGCGCGATACTACGAGTGTGTGTGTGTGTGTGTGCGCAAAAAGTTTCCGATGTGCAGCACCGTCCGTTGGATTACACTACGACCAGGAATATGTACGTAACCCGGGTAAGGCACATGCCGTAGACATCTAGTGCCGTTGGTCCGTTCGGGCGTTTCAGGCCTATCGTCCGGAACGTGTCTGCCGCCTCGGCGGTGGGTGTACCTCCACTCCCCGCGCCTGTACAAAATGGTGGTCGGGATCCCCTTGTCGTGTAGTCTCTCTCATCCATTAGATTCAGATCCGTGGCCGAATATCATAGCATTCGTGTTTCCATTGTTAAGTGGCCGGATAACCTATGGCCACCTGCTCTTGCGACCACACGATAAGCGCCTGGATTTAGTCTTCCTCTTATTTTTTTTATTATGGTTCCTCATGGAAGAGGGGTTGGAGTTTTTTTTTTACTTTCTGCCATACACTATTCAATAGTAAATTTTTCACTCTCCCTAGTAAGCCTATTTGTCACCCTCTATTGGCCTGGTGTATCATTTTGATCTCCATAATGTTTTTCATACAAAAACTTACAATTGCTCCAAAATAATTCATTACATTAGTGGTGTCTAGTCAAAATATTTAATGCTGTTGGTATGTTTGATAATTTACTCACATTTATTAAACTAAAGTTTGATGCTTTTGTTTTATTTGAGAAAAGAACTAACCTAACCTAGTTTATGTAATAAATATTTTCAATTTATTGCTTTCAAATTATTCGTTTTGTTAGATAGACTTTCAAACTTAAAGTATCTCATTGTATATGATTATAGATTTAGCAATATTAGTATTGTGCATTGTTCAAAATTGATTATTTTACGTTAAATGACGTACTTTAAGATTAATTTGTCTAATATTTATTATCCACGCTTATTATATTTTCCTTGCTTATCTAAAAATATAATATATATGTATATATGTGGTTGCATTAGATATTTTGTTTCAATAATATTTATAACTAACCTAACCAGCCATCATATATTTGTAAAATAAAACTATTTTTTTACTATATTATTTTAATTTTGATAAGTTTTAACACATTACAATAAATAAATTAACTAGTTAAACATATACACTTGATAGATAGTATTCATGGTTAGAGATATTATTTTCTTCATTGAGAATAATTTTCAATTAAAATCTAAGCTATTGGTATTAATTACCGTGAAGTTAGGTTTTTAAATGATCATCATTAATATTTATTTTGTGATTTAATTTGTTTTTTTTATTATTTTCCAATTTTTATTTCATTTAACTGTATAATTTTTATGAAAACTAGTATGGCAACAATAATTTAGTGTTGACATTAAAATTACTGTAGTATTAAATTTACAATTTTAATATTTAACTCAAAAAGAAACTAATTACATATATTTAATAATTTAAATTTTTGTTTATGATATTAATAACATCTGAACTGTTATAAATAATTATCACTTAATTTATTTTACTTAAAATTCATAGGTATAGTATTTATAATCTAAATTCTTTACATTTGTCATTAAATATTTATTTTTATAATTTTAAATTCACCTTTAATATTGTTTTAAGTAGGTTTATTTATTAAAATTATTTATTTTGGACTTTGATTTATATAATTTTTTTTGTCAAAAACTATTATGTTACCAGAGTAATATCCTTGAGTAAATTAAATTAAATTTTAATAAATTTATAATTAATGTTATTCAAAAAAAATTAGAAGAGTAGCTGTTTTAAAAATTGTTACTTAACACAATTTTAGTATAGCTATCCTAGTAATCTAAATATTAAACGGCTCCTATATGATTATTAAATGTGTGTGATCATTCTATTTGAAAAATAATCTTAGTCCCTTACATTATTATACTCTAGTTCATAATTGATTTTTATATTCAAAGTTTAGATAAACAGCATCTACATTTTTAATAATTGTAGAATAAAATTTTAATTATAATTTTAATTTGGAATAACCTAATTTAATATTTGTATATATATATATAGACAGGGGTTTTTATGTTATTTATACTTGTCATAATTATAACAAACTTAAAAAAAAAATCCTCTGCTCATGAATCTATAAAAGTAATTTGCTACCCATTTATTTATGTCTACCTATTCTGCTATTTTAAATACTATTTTCATACCTTATCATATTCGTATTTAATTATTTTTCAATTTAATGTCTTATTTGTTAACATATTAGTTTCTTTTTATTGAGTCAACTATATAGGTATAAAAAAACAACTCCAAATTTTAGTAAAGTCATAATGGAATTTTATTGAGTTAAGAAAACATAGTAAAATGTATGTAATTGTGAGTTCTAAATAATATTCAAATTCAACTGAGTTTGACTACATATTTTACTATGAAATTTGATCAAAATACACTGAATTTTAGAAATTTTATATTAGTTGAATAACTGATCACTGATATTATTTAAACCTTTTTTTATTAACACTTCATTAATATATTTTTAAAATGTATTTTTCAGGTTAAAAAATTAGTTGGATTTAAAACCAATTTGTAAGAAAATGAAAGGTCTGGTTATGGTAAGTTTCTATAATTTAAATAAACTTAAATTACATTATATATACATAAAATAATCATTTTAGTGAAATGGCCGCTGACAGCGATGGCTCTACCCAATTGGTTACAACCATTGTTACATGTGAAGGGGACCTAAATGACCCTCAGTTTAACCAAAAGTTTGAAAAGATTGTTGTAGATCTTAACAAACTACTATTTCCAGGTATTTTTTTTTAATATTTACTATTAAAAATCTATTAATTCATTAAGTTAATATTTTTGTTTTTGTTTCTGTTTCTTTTTTTTTTTATTAGGAACTATACAAGCACCTGTAGATTATATTAAAAAACCCATAGCATGCAATGTAGACTAGACATGAATGGTACTTACTTCATACAAATAATATTCAGAAAGAAAAAATAATATTATTTAAATTTTCAATATTTATTTATTAACTTTTATTATTTTATTCATCACTTTTTTTAGGTTCGGCTGAAGAGAAAGGGATTTATGTAAACAAACTCGAGCCATGGAATTCAGTAAGGGTAACTATTACTGTGCCACGAGAAGCTGCTTCAAAGCTTCAGGTGTTGGCACAACAAGGAGATGCAACTCTTTCCAGGCTCGGAATTTTATCAGTTCAGGTGGAAGGCGATCAGGTTTGTTAATTTCAATAAATTATTAGTTTTGTATTGTATTTTAAAATATTTTGATTTTAGATGATTTCGTTACGATTGGGCACCAATCGGTTTGGTGGAGAAAACCAAGAGCTAGTTTTAAGAACATCAGCTGGCCCATCAAATACCAATCAGCCAACTACTTCAGACGAAACTGCTGCTGTAAATTCACTGATCAAAGCTATGGCTTCAGCCACATCTCCTGCTCTGCAGTCTCCATCACCTCAATTACCGACACCCCAGTTCAAAAGCCCCAACGTTGTGGCTGTCGACTCTACCCCATTGCCTCCGATACCCCCTTCGCCCTCCACGGCAGAACCATCCCCAAGACCCCACATATGGCCGTTTGTAAGCATGAACCAAGCTGCTCAGACCATACACAACCGAGAGTCAATGCACACAGCACCTCCACCTCCACCACCATATCCAGGATCTCAAAATGGAGTGTTTAAAACTCAAAGGTCAGGAGATGTAAATGCATCTGTGCACTCAAGTCCATTGTTAGTTAATCTATTACAAAATGAAGGTGCGGGAAAAATGCCTCCACCTATGGACAAACATAAGAAGCCATCAATACCTTCTCCAAATGTAGTGAAAAATCAAGATGGCTTTTCTGGTTCAGAGTTTACCCAATCTGCATTTGCTAATGTTGCTTCGGACATTCAAGTCGTCCAAAGGCTACAAAAGCTACCAGATTCAGTTACCAACAGTGCTCAGAATCGAATGGATTCCATTGGATCTCCTAATGGATCAACTACGAGGTTGATCAACAAACACAATGTGCCTTCCCAAGAGCTCTCACAAACCTCAAAGATTATTGGCTCACCAAATGTACAAACCTCTTATGCTGTAAGGCACACTATCTTGTCAAGCTCATCAATTACCCAAAACCGATTACAAACTGTTCCCCAAAATGTCACTATCACTACTAATCAATTTAAACTTAACCAAGGTTATATCAATCAAATGAGGCAAGGGTCAAATCAGCTTATAGCTAAGCCTAATATTACCCAACAGTTCAGTCAACCTCAAATTAGGTTACAAACACAATATAGCCCAGCAGGGTCTCAAAAACCAATTCAGACCAATGCCATATTGCAGCAAAGGACAGATATGATGTCTGCTCAAATGACAAATATGAGCAACCATGATTCTACCACAAAGCAAAAAGGTCAATCGGTTACAAGTCAAAGTCAATCCCAAAATATCACTTCCACTAATTCATTCCATCCTGTGCCTAATAATCAGATAACAAATGTTTCTCAAACTTCATATTCATGTAGTGAAACATCCCAACAAAATTTTAATAATTATATACAGGGTACTAATCAGGCGCCAACTACTAATGTAAATAAAAAACCTGATCTATCTTTTAATGAAAACAATATGCAACCAAGGTTAGTTGCTACTTCACAACCATCTGAAAATGCATCTCAGGAAATTCAAAAAAGTGTGGTAACTAGTCAACCGATAAAATCTCCACCTTTAACATCCTCTGGTAAACAGCGGCAATTTCTTATAAATCCATTAACTGGAGATATGGAACCTATGTCAAGTGATAGTAGTTCAGAGAGTGATACAGAAGAAAAAATAAAAAAATTACCAACAACAGATGATAATTTCTATAATTTTTCTTCTCCGATTACTAATGATAGGTCCAATTCTGTATTTTCCGATGATGAAGATACTGGTTCACCTACTTCTCGTCGTAATGACACTACAACAGATCAATCTGATTCAGAAGCTACTGTTAGATCAACTAATAGTGAAGCATCTTCTCGTCATCGTTCCAGTCCATTACCCGCTCCTGCTGAGAAAATAAAATTAAGATTAAAATTGACTGAAAAGAAAGAACCTTATAAAGTTGATGTTTCCTTTGGCAGTTCTTTATGTAAAGTAGATAAAAGGCATTTTGGAAGCCCATCAACTTCGTTATCAGGGTCTTCTGCTGAAGGACTTCGTGTACCACCTCTGCATATTTCTTTAAGAGGAAGAAATGCTGCTGTGGTAGTTGGTTCAAGAAAAGAGAAAAAATGGAAAGACTCTGATGATGAAAGTAAAAAATCAACAGGGTGTAAAGTAAAAACTAACATTAATCATTTAAAAACTAAAAGCTCTAACCAAGATTTATTAAAAATTTGTTCAAAACAAATAAAGCTAGAAAATACTGAGGAAGACGATTCAAGAGTTAAACTGAAAAGAGTTGAAGAAAGTGAAGAACCTGTTTCTTCTTCAGTTGATTCTAATGAACCTATTAGCAGTTACAACCCTGTATTACCTCCTGGCAGGATATATCCGACTGAAGCTGAAGTGGCTTCTATTTTAAGGTCCATGCCTAGTGATAAACACAACAAAATGAGCTTAAGTTTTAATAAAGTGAAAAAACGGGAATCTAAAAAAAAATGTTTACCGAGGGAAAGAACAGGATCTATAGATAGTCCTAATTTACATAGGATTGTTGAAAGAACTCACACAAAAACAAAAATTAATAAAAGTAGTGCTGTTTCACTATTTAAAAATGTAGTTAAATCATCTGTGGGTAAAGAAGCTAGAATGATTGCTGCTGCTACCTTTGGAAATAGAAATCACTTTCATGACAAACAGCGGTCATTGAACAATGGACATGATGCTTCAACTCAACCCAGCGGATCACAATCAAATAATCAAAGAAGGACAAGTGTAGACATGCCTTTTACAGGTAATATTAATATAGCTACCTTTAGTTAATAACCACTTAGTAAATATTATAATTACTTTATCTAGGTTCACATACATTGAATTCTTCAATGACAAAATTGAACAGACCTTTAGGTGGTCAGTCTCCTGATACATATCTACCATCTAGCCATTTTTCTAACCATCTCTTACCTGGTCAAAAAACACAAGGACCTAACACTTTTCACAAAGATATGAATAAAAAACCTTTAACTATTGTCAGTCGAAAGGTTACCAATTCAAAAAGTAAAGATAGTAGAAATTCTAAACTTGAAAGTGGAGTGAAACGAAAAGAATTTCAACTGACTGCAAAACGTAATGATCATTTTGTTCAAAAATTTGACATTGATAAACCAAATTGTGTGACTGTTGGACGTGTTCAAGTTGAAAAACGTGATGAGCATTTATCATTGCCTATTACAGAAATTGATGTATCTGAAAAAAATGTAAAGCAAAGATTACTTGAAGATACTGCACCTCAAATAAGAAATGTTATGAGGATAGAAACCCCAATAATTGAAGATATTAAATGTGAACGAGTTCAGACTGATGCTAAAAATATGAATGGAAGTGAAAGTCCAGCTGGTCATGGTAATACTCAAGGTGAAGATTCAGGTATTGAATCTATGGATGCTCTGTCAGAGAAAAGTCCTAATCAAAGTGAGAGTCCTTGTCGAAAAGATGATCAAACCACTGGTCAAAAACCAACCGCTCCATTAAAACAAGAAGAAACAAAAATACCAGTTTTATCTGTAGACCAACAAAATACAGCAGACTCTCCTGATTTAGATGATATACAGCCATTTCGAGTAACACCAGCCCTATATACATATTCAAATCCAGAGAAAATTCGAGATGATTCACCTCCTGTTTCACCCAAATTGGATATTGAAGATGTTTTAGATCCAACAGAACTACACATGATTTCTTCTTCTGAGACTGATGGAGATTTACCCTCTGTCAAGCTAAAGAAAAGGAAGCGTATGGATTCTGAAGATAGTAAGACTGATGGTGATGCCCCTGTGGTCAAGAAACCAAGTAAGTAAAATGATGTTTTATAAAAAAATTTAGTGTAAACTGCCAACATGAATAATTTGTTAATTAAAATTTTTGAATTTAAAGATATTGAAAGTGATATAATTGGAAAATCTGATATTACAAGTATGAATGTTATCTCAGAAAATAAATCTCTTTTGGAACAACTTTTAATTGATATACCAGCTGATTCAGATTCAAAAAAATCAGTGGTTTCTACTAGAAGCACACGTTCACATAGGTATTGTAAATCAAAAACCAAATTTGTAGTTTTTAGTTAGTTTTATTAATTAAAATTTTGATATTGATAGAACAAATACACGAATATCTGTACCTGTGTCCTCCTCGGGTTCACCATCTCAACCAAGTTTACCATCACCTACACGTCGTTCTAATCGTAATACACATCCACCCAACAGGACATGTGCCGGCAAGTCTTGTGATAGGTCTACTCCTAGTAAAACAATTGAAAAGAAGGAGAAGACCACTATTTCTACCCCTACTAAACTTGATAAAACTCCTCTCAGACCACAATCAACAGCTGTTACAATTAACACCAGGGCTGCAAGTGCTTCTAAACAAACAATTATAGTAACCTCACCTTCGTCAGAAACTGTTACTGCTGAAGGTGATAAACAGACAACTAGGCGGAAAACACGGAGCACGTTGCCTAATAGTAAGTAAGAATTTCAATCATTGATTCTATTACTTTTAAGTCTATTTTAAAATTTACTAATATAAACACCAAACTATATTGAATAAGAACTATTGAACTTTTAGTCATAATTACAATTATCTATACATAAGTGCTTGGTTTCAAAAGAAAATATACTGGTTTTGCACATATTGACTTGTTATTTTCTTCTTTCACTGTTCATAATTTTTAAGAAGTTGTGGGCCAATAGATGAATATCTAATCCTGGTTTATTCTCTTTTGAAATTAATAAAAGAATCATGGTATCTGATGATATATATATATATATATATATATATATATAGTTGGCCCCAGTGCACGTCGTTACAAGTAAAAATTGTTGTATGGGTTAGATTGTTCTATTTTAATTATTTTTTTTAATTTTAGACACTTTTACATAACAGTAATCTCGTAAAGCGGCAATTGTAAACTGCACCCAATGCAAAAATAAACACAAAATCGTACATATAAATACGCACGAGTTTTTATCAAATAGATAAAAGTGACATGTAATCTGTGTTCAGTAAAATTTTAAAAATGAATTTCTATATTCTTACAAAATTAGACTAAAGTACTAAATTACTCATCTCAAATTATGTATGCTGTGCAAGTTTTGACTGTACATTGCCACTTAACTTCAATCGAACTTGGAGACCGAATCAATTTTTCAAAATTTATCAAATTTTGTCTTATATTATTTATGTTTTAGTAGAGATCCCTAATTTTTCTATCTAGTAGTTTTTAAGATTTTTGTAAACAAACAAAAACAAACACTGACTTTTTATATAATAGTAAAATGTGTAATGTATGTCCGGTTTTGAAATAAAAATTTATCATCTGTTATATAAAAAGTTAATTTGAATCACAATTTTATCAACTTTATATATACATGACCTGATGTTTTTTATATTTTGAAATCAGTCATACATTATATAAATAATTATACTCCAGACTACATTAATTAATTTTCTTATTTCTATGTATAAACTATTTATACATTAATTTAGGAGTATTAACCATTAACTAATTTTTGTTTTACTTTATTATTTTATTATAAATATGTCTATATTGTATAATATATTGATAATTACATTATTATTATGTATATTTCTTGTTATTACTTATTTGGGTAACTCCTTTAAAAATAAACTCAAGACTATATAACTTGCATATTTGATTGTTTAAAAAACTTATCAATATTTTACTTTTTCAAGTTGGCTGATTTTAATTTTGAAAATAATTTTTTAAATAAGTTTTTTGTACTTAAATATAATTTAGCTATCAAATAAATAAATACCTATTTTAATATAAGCTTTCTAAAGTTTTAAATAATCTAATTTAATTGTTTTACTTTTATTTTAGCGGATCCGGAGAATGTAGCGAGGCGTCGTCGAGCATCACGCGACGGCAAATGACATACACAACCGGTGCCGACGCCGACGACACATAACACTGCGTCATCTCCGGCAATCGTCGTCGGACCCGGGTAATTTCTATTAGGTTCGTTATCCTTAAATGGCAAAATATTTTGTACTCCTTTGTTCTTAAATCTAAATGTATGGATTATATAAGATTACAGTTAGATATAATTAAATAAAATTTTTTATTATTATTGATATAAAATATATATATATATTTTTTTTTTAATACAGAAAAATGTATTCAGTTTTAATGAGGGGGCATAGTAGAAATATCTGTTGTCATTCAATCTCTCATATTATAATTTATTCTTTAATATTTTTTTATTATTTTAATTATAATAGTTATTTGTTATTTTTATCATTGCTGTCTATATATATATATATATATATATATATATAAACACACTGTTGGTTGTTGCCTTAGGAATATTATTAGAGCAAAAAAATTAAGATAATTTAATTCATTATTATTTACAATTTGCTTGAAATAATTTTTTTCTTTTTTTACATCAATGTTTCTTGTTATGTAAATACTTAATGTAATATAATGTTGGACATTTTGTTGCGTTTTCAAAAATTAAACAAAATTTAAAATATATATTTAAATATTAACTCATACATTTTAAAATTACACATGATTTTGTAAAATGTGTCATAGGTGTCTTGTGCATTTTGTTGTCCCTTGAGCATTTTTATGTAAATAATTTCATGTAAACTTAAGTTAAACATTCTTGTACAATTTAAGTAAACCTTGTTACTCGTGTTTTTTTTTCTTTTTTTTTTTAATGGGTGAAATTAATGTGTTTCTTCTTGAGCTTTATTATTATTTTATTATTATTATTATTATTATTATTATTATTATTTTATATATATATATATATATGTGTTTATGTATTTACATATATAATATATATATACACAATCTGATCGTTTTTGGCGATTAGTGACAATAAATCTTTAATCTAAACAATCTTAACCGTAAAAAAAAAAAAAGTAAGTGCAATAATTTTCGTGTGTGTAAATAATATACCTTTTTTATAGTGATAATTATTATGATTAGATACACATTTTTAAAAACAATTTTCGTTAAATTTACTTTTTCTGTCATTGGTGCAATTATCACACGTACACTATGGCAGCTTAAACAAAAAAAAAAGTATTTTGAAAATTAAGTTTCGATTTTATTACCTTTTTAAATTACATATTTTGTTTGCATTACACCTTATGATTAAAAAATACTAGTAAATAAAAAATTTGTAATTGTTTAATTTTTATATAGTAATTATTATATATGGTATTGTAGATTCTATTTATAAATAATTAAACAAAATTTATGTATAAATCAATATACATATACATGTATAATTATATATTTGAAATGACATATACACATTTTATTATTGTAAATAGTTGTTCAGTTTTAAGAAATATATATGTTTCAGGTAATCATATTTTCTATTTTTCTCAATTATCAAAACAATCATCAATAAGATTGGTAACCTTTTTTTTTTTTTTTTATTATTTTGAAAACATTTTTTTATTTTAAAATTTCTCTGATAAGTTATTTAATTATTGATTTATTTACCCTTCAATGCAAAAATATTAGATGCTTATATATATCTATATCTATATCTATATTTTATTTTTGTTTATCGTTGGTAATTTGATTTTAGCAATTTGCTGTCATTTTTAAAAGTTTTTATTATGAAAATAATTCTGTTATTAATACTGAGAAAAATAATACTATACTCATTTTTTTAATCACTTTCAATTGAATAGAAGAATTTTTTGAGACTCCTTAGTTTTGTAGGTGCTATTAATTTAAAAAAGAAATGGTTTTCTCACTAATTAACTGCCAACTTCCTACCTCAATTTTAAACTTTATTATTAATTTATTTTTTATTGTTGAAACTTTTTTATAAGAAGTTGATATTTTGTTTATAGGCTTTAAATTTAACATAGAATATATTTTCTAGGAGAGTAAGTAGACTAATTTCATGATTACATTGTGATACTTTTATAATGATCAATTACTTTGTTCATAGTTATGTGAGTTATTTGAATATTATTATTTGTCTTTTTATTAAAAATACAATAAAATAAAGTAGACAAATCAGTTATGTCAAGAATATTGATGTGATACAAGCTTATAACACTAAGTTGGTCTGAATTTATTATGGAATAAGTAAATGGTTTCTTAACAGACAAAATATTCTAAGTTTTATTATTCTTTTTTGCTGTATTGGCTACCTTATATTTATAAATCTTGGTATTGTTATCTGTTATGATTTCACTTTAATTTGATCGTAATATTTGTATGTTATGTATTATTATACGCATTTTATTAAGAACTAATGAGACTTAAAATATTATATACAGTGGAACCCTGATAAGTTAAAATACATTATGTTCCCTAAAACTCCGATTACTCGAAAGAAAAACAACAGATAACATTCTGTTTCAAAATCTTTCAGACTGTGTTATAGATAAATTATCTATTGTTTTATTGTAATACTATTTACATTTTTTAGAAATAATAATAATAACATTACACACTAATTTTATAAAAATGTATAATAATTAAAAACTAATATACATTAATCTAATATACTTAAATCATGGTAACTCAATAACTAGTAGAGTCGAAAAAATTCCATTTCTGGATAAATCCATTCCATTCTAATAATCTAACAGATTCGGTAGACTCAACTGGTTCATATATTGCACTTAATGTATAGTAGTTACTATAAAACTATAAAATCATTAAGATTGTTAGGCTCTCTTCGAATCTAAATGGATATTTTTTTTTAACTAATATTAATATAATAATATATTAATAACTTAATATAATTAATATAATAATTAAATTACAAATTAGATAACAAACAAATTTACAGTAAAAGATCCTTTTTGCAAATTAGTAAGTATTCCTATTGAAGTGTAAAAGTTGTATTGATTGTTAAAAAAATCATAGTAAATAAATATGAGAAACATATTTTATATATTACCTACCTATAGCAGCAGTTCTTAATCTTTTGTAGATCACGGACCCCCCTTACGAATTTTTTTTAGAATACATTTTTTTTTTTTTACAAAACATCTCATGTTATTAAAACCAAAATTATAAAAATGATTTTATTAGTAGACATAACAAAACATACATATTTATAATTATTTATATAACAGTTAATTTTTCAGTAATTTTATTTTAATTTTTTTTTAAAATTCTTAAAATTTAATTTTTATTAAATTAATGTGATGATTGATGTTATATTTACGAATAAGATACAAGTTTTTGAACATTATATGAAGATAAGATCTATCTATTGTATAATAAAAAATATATGATAAAGAAATTAATAATAATGTACTTATGTCATGTATTAACGATTTTATGTATTAGAGCTTTCACGGACCCCCGAAATGATTATCGCGGGCCCCTAGAGGGTCGCGAACCAAGGTTAAGAACCGCTGACCTATAGCATCATTAATATCGTTGTCGTTCTTATTTTCTATTTCTTCTTGCAAGACATGAATAATCGCTTGGTAACAGTCTAAAATAGCATCATAATTTTTGTATCGACAATTCCATCTTGTATTGTATTTCTACCAATCATATGATTGACCAATAATTTGACCTTTGTCACTTAAATTACAAACTTTCAGATAATCCAAAATATGTTGAATTAAAGATTGAACATTTTGTTTAATAGAGCAATTAATAAACCCGAGAAATCTTTCATATATATTTAAATCTTTTGTATATCTAACACATAAAGCCATTTGTTCTTCCTTATAACAACTGAAAGTACATTAAAATAAAAATGTATTTACATAGTTAATACTTAATATTAATTATTTTATTTTTGAAGTCATTAATAAATACATCTTTAAGGAAGCTTACATATGTATTTTGTAATTTATTTGGTAACAAGGCGTAAACAGTAGGTGTCAACAAATAGGCTGTCAATACATGTATTGTATAAATTTGAGTGAAAAGTATCGGAGAGCTCTTAAATGTACCGTCGACAAACCAATTATTACATTTTATCATTAACTCTAAATTTTCTTTAGTAGAAAATATTAAAATACGATCATCTGATGAGCCGCTATCGTACTGCAGGAATTGTCTTCCATCTTTGGTTAAAGTATACTTTTCAGGTATTTCGAGATTAAAAAGTGACTTAGGATTCGGCGATGCGCAGTTTTTTACGTTGACGTACTCTTCGTAAAGTGTGTTTTAAATTAGATAACTCTGGTAACGCACCTGATATAAATGGATTAATTTGCGATGAAGCAATTATTTTCTGAGGGTTATCTTGTGACGATAGTGCTTGTGATTTCATTCTTTCGACTTCTTTTTTAACTTCTAATCTGCATATATCTGCACATTTCCAATACTTTGACTCCTTTTATATTTTTTCTTCTTCATAAGTATAACCATTGATTATAGAATATACTATAATCAATGGTATAACTATTATATACGAGAAAATGTTTACCCTTATTAAATTAAATTTAATAAATTCCATTATTCAAAAATTAACTATAAAAAGAAAATACACTACACTACTACAATACACAACACTTTTATACTTTATGTCATCGAACGTCGAACCCAACTTAATGTTTTTTCTATATGTGTACTGTGTTCACTACACAATACAGGCAATGAGAAATTTGATAAATGTATTAAAAAAAGTTGAAGAAATTAGTAGTAAGGTAAATAAGAAATAGTTAGATTCAAATCACTTTTTGACTAAACTTTTTAAAAAAAAAGTGATGTGGTTGGATTAGAAAATGTGGTTTAGAAAATTCTTTAATTGAAGAAATGTAAAGAATCGTATGAACCTTTTACAAGTTCTGATAGGCCACGTTAATCTTTTTTAAAGTCAAGTGATCGTTCTAAGTGCAGACAAATAAAAAAATTTGAGAGAAATAACTTCATCATATAAATGAATCTGTGTAGTAAAATTGACATTGTATGTTGAAGAAAAACGTGCTGCATTCGATCATGTTTCTCACGCAACCGAGTATTCTCCTCAACGTGTGATAAAGATTAGAAAATTTTATAAAAATGAAGCGAAAAATAAATATTGTTCTTACACAAATAATAAGGATGTAGTATTTATCATTAATACTCACATGACTAAAAATTCGTATCACAAAACTAGATTAGGTGCTAAAA